TGAAGAGCCTGCTTCTCCCTCTCCCTCTGCCTGCGGCTCCCCCTGCTTGTGCTCTCTCTTTGTCAAATAAATAAATAAAATCTTAAAAAAAAAAAAAAAAGCAGCAGCAGCAGCTGAGATTTGGCAAGGCAGCAGAGAGCCCAACCTTATGAACCTCCCACCTCTGATAACCGGAATATGTAGCTCAGGTTGGGTGATCAGATCCCTCTGCCCACCCCATCATGGCACCGAGGAAGGTGCAAGGAAGAGGCTCAGGCCCTAGTTAGTAACCTCGCGCTCCCGAGAAGTACGGTTAAACTTCCATCAGCTAATGTGGGTGGCCACCTTGCAGTTGGATCTCCACCCCTTGGGAATGCCAGGAAGCTTTGGACGATAAGCATCGGTGAGTTGGCCCTGGAGGGCCAGTTACAGTTGGAGGCCTCTGCTGATACGGGTCTCACTTTCGTGGAGGAGACACTCCTGCCCATCCGGTCGTCGGCTTCAGCACCGCGCCCTCCACGCTCTTTCCTGCCACTTGGCGATGGTCGAGGTACCGGCCAACGCCTGGATTTACCCTCCCCTGAGCCCCGAGACAGCCTTGGCTCGGACACGGAGTGGGGTGTTTACTCCTATCCCGCTCGAGCTCCGCTACACCAGGCCAATCTGGACCTGGAGCGCCCTCTGGCGGTGCTGGGCGGCGGGCCTGGACCTCCACGCGCAGTGGGAGGCTTTGGGCTTGGTCCCCGGAAGGCGCTCCCGGGTGGTGGAGCTCTGAAAATCATTCGGCCTTGATTATTACCTCACCCCACTCCAGGTCCGGCTCAGGGAGGCGCGATGCAGCCTTACACAGCTGCTCGGATGGGTTTGGACGGGGGTCAGGGAGAACCAGGGTACTGCTAAGGGTGGGTACGTCACTGTGGACATGCCGTTGCTGGGCCTGGAGTCATACGTGTTGTTTTTCTCTGAACTGGCCACTGCCAAGAAAATCTGTACTGGCCTTGCTTGGCCTTTTGATGTTCCCCAACCTCATCACCACCGCTGTCCTTTCCTGGACATTGGAGCAGGAGGGGGGCAGCTGTTTCGGGATGCTGGGGGTCTCCCAGAGTAGAGGGAAGGCTGTCTTTACCACGTGTAATGTGCATGGGAGGAATTCCAGAAACTTTCTTTTCGCTGATGTCACCATCTCTGGACCCAAAGGTAGAGGAATCAACGTGGTTTGGATGCGGGTGAGATGGGGTTGAGCCCTGAAAATTGTGGAGACTCTCCATGGCCTCAGCCTCCAAAGACAGCTCACGGTAAAAATCTGGAGGGGGTAGTGGTGATTCCACAGTCAGCAAATTTCTACCAGGTGCCAGAGAGGGCACAGGATTCAGACGTGGCCTGGACAAATCGCTGACCTTCTCTGGCCTTCCCAGGTAAGCGTGGACCTTCTGGGATGGTTCTGGGGTGGTCACGACTATTGAATACAGGGAATGCTGCTGATCATTGGGTCAGTGTGGACATGTCTTAGATTTCAGGCAGGTCCTGGTATACCCAGGGGTAGCTGCATGCGGGGCAGGTCGGTGTCTATGCCACCTCAGCACTAAGGACTGGACAGCACCCTCAGGACAGTTTCGCAAAGCCAAAGCAGGGACGCCTGGTGGCTTTCGCCCACCGAGGGTGGCCCGTAGAGGCTGCCGGCAGAACCCTTTTGGAGGGGCCTGAGCTTCGGGACCCCGGCCTTGAGGGACTTGGGGCCTGACATCCATACTCATAGGGTTGGGATCTGAGTTCCAGGAGTTCCAGACTCTGGGTATCCAAGAACCCTTTGTAGTGCTTCGAATTACAAACTTTTTAAAAATTCAATCCATTTCTTTACATATATATTCTACATAAGTTACAAATCCTCACTTCTGCCACTCTGCTAGAACTTTTCCAGAAAAGCCTTCATTTCTTCCTTGATCTTGTTTTCTACCAGTAATGCGAAGTTACTGTGTTTTGAAGGTTATAGTTGTTTGTAAACACCTGTTTGTTGGTCTTCCTGGCTAAGTGCTGGGCAAGGCCAGTGGAGGTCGCCATGTCAGAATTGTCTCCAAGAAGGGAGGTAGACACAGGGATGGAATCGTAGCTTTGCACATGGCCACCTCGAGGCTGTGCAGGTGTGGCGTGGCCCCCACCCACGGGAAGAGCGAGTCCATCAGCTGCATGATATGGAAATGGGTGAGCTGCTCCCACAGCCTTGTGCTGAGAGACGTCCTCGACCTTGGCGGCCCGCGGCCCCTTCATGCCACCCAGCGAGCCCGTGGCCCTCAATCATCGAGACTCTGGCTCCGCTCAGATTACATACACTTTTACACATGGTCTTTTCTGTGCTTCTCAACAGCTCAGGAGAGCAGCCCTGCACATCCACACTAATAGGTGAGGGACCTCAGGGAGGGTAGAAGTCACATAGCCAGGGAGGGGTTTGAGCCAAGACTGGAACAATTGCCTTGGTCCTTGCAGATTTATCCACAAAAACAATGACAATCGTGTGGAGCCCTTATAGTAGTGGGATCCTGAGGGCTGATGGGCTCAACACAAGGGAGGAGGGACTTGGGAGTGAGAATGACTTATGGCCCTAGGTGGGCACTGCGCATGTGGGGTGGGAGCCCTGGTTAGGCTGGGCAGTGCTTAGGGCTTTAAGGAGGCCCAGGCTGTTAATGAAACATGACTGTTCCTAAAGCCTGAGGTGCCACTCAAGGCCCATCACAGTTCATCTATCCAGACCCGTTAGGCCAGGACCCCCTCCTTTGGGCCAGAGCTGGGACTAGGGTGAGTCAAGTAAGGAGCCTAGGGTGCAAGATTTGAAGAGGCATTCACTGTCAGGACCGTGCAAGTGCAGGCTAGCACCAGCAGGACCCTAAGACAGAGTCTCTTCTACCTCCCCTCTCCCTCCTGCCTTCACTCTAAGCTTTGAGCTCCTAGAGGGCAGAGACTGTGCCTGCTACTCCCTTGGGGCCCCCGGCCCAGCATGTGGGCCGTGCAGTGCTGTTCTGAGAACTCAATAAACATTTGTCCGTGGTCAAGCCTCAGCTTTCGTTCCTGAAAGAAAAAGAGTTTAAGCAGGGAAGAGCATGTGTGTGTCACTCAATCTAAGCGATTCTGGTTTGGCCAGGGTCTGGACTTCTCATTTGCTAAATATAAGCAAATGGAATGTCGAGGGGGAGAACCCAGTGCCCTTGCAAGATTCAGAAAGTCCAAGTCAGGGGCGCCTGGGTGGCTCAGTGGGTTAAGTGGCTGCCTTCGGCTCAGGTCATGCTCCATGCTCAGGTCATCCTGGGATGGAGCTCCGCATGGGGCTCCCTGCTCAGCGGGGAGCCTGCTTCTCCCTCTCCCACTCCCTCTGCCTGCCACTCCCCCTAGGGACGACAGCGAGATCTAATCCGGGAAGTCAAAGCAGCTACTGGATGTGCATCGAGTGTATCGACTTTCTACTTATCAGGACTGGAGCAATGAGCAGGATCGATCATTGCTTTTGACTGCCAGTGAGTGCTGCGCGCCGATTGGTCCGGGTTAAGGAAACGAGGAAAAAAAGGCGTGCACGTGGGAGCCTCGGTCAGAGACGGGCGCGGTGGGTGGGAACGAAGCCGGCGAGGGACCATGGCGTCGCTCAATTGCAGCGCCGTCGTCTGCGTGATTTGCTTGGAAAAACCCAAATACCGTTGCCCCGCCTGCCGCGTGCCTTAGTGAGCGCGGGGGTTGTGGGGAAGGGGACCGGGCGGGGGCGGCGGGGGACCGGGCGGGGGCCCCGGGAGGGTCCGCACGACCTTCCGGGCTGACGCAGCTCGTGGCCTCTCTTGTTACAGCTGCTCGGTGACCTGCTTCCGGAAGCACAAAGGTAAGGCCCCGGCGTCCCCCCGAGCTGCCACTCTCCTCGTGCGGGCAGCCCCCACGTCCCGCCGCGCTCCCTCCCGGCCTTGCCTCGCCCGATCCTGTCGGAGCCCCAGGGGGAGCCTCTGCCTGTGAATGCCTCCCCGGATTTTGAAGTCAGAAACTTCTGCTCTGCCTTTTCTCCTACAGACTGTCCTTCCCACCCCACCCCACCCCCGGCGCCCCCCTTAAAAATCGGCGACTGCTTTGGCCATCGAAGTCAGCCCTAGCAGTTTCTTCATCTTAGTATTCTGACTCAGAAGCAGCGCTGGCTGTAGTTAAGACCATTTTCTTTAAGTGCCTGGCTAGAAACAACGAGGTAGATCTGTTTGCCTTAAGGAGTGATTAGTGCTGTTAAATCTATATTTTAACTACAATCGGGAGCCTCTTAGTCCTCAGAGACCGTTCCCCACGACCTCATGCTGAGTTGACTCTCTGGTTAAAGTCCTATTGGTTTTTTGCGTCTAGTGGGATTCTACCCGCCCCGCCCAGTCTCTGGCTTAGAGGTATGTTTCAAGCTGCATTGCTCCGCCTGCTATTTTTGTTTTTTACCCTAGTATCTCTGGAGCATTTTTAAAGGAAATTTGTCAGTTCAAGATAGAGAGGAAAGAAGTAGAACTGTTTTGCTGGAAATAGGGTTGGGGAGCCAGGTAGGTTAGCTTTGCTCTGGCTGTGCAGCCCTGGGTGGCCCCTCTAAGAACCCCTAGGGCAATCCGGGGCAATCTGGAGCTCTTCACAGTGTGGCCCTGCTGCTGTCAGGGTTTCTCCTAAAATGCACATTTGAGTAATTCACTCCCTTGTTGAAAACTCCAGCCTCTCTAGCAAAGGGAGGCGGTGGTTCTTAGCCTAGGTATTGCTCTCCCTAGGGAGACACATTGTGACAATGTGTCTCAGGAGCTGAGGAGGGTTGGGGCCACTTCTGGCAATCGGTATTTGTGCAGATAAACATCCTTTGGTGTGTGAAACCATCTCACACCGGTAAAGACCCTTCCACCCTGAACATCACAGTGCCTTTGATTAGAGACACTGGTCTTAGGAAGAAAGGCCATCCTCCCGTGTGGCATTCTTCTCCTGCTTCCTCCACTTGCAACCCAGCCACCTGCCAGGTCTACCCCGTCAATCAGCCACTAGTCGCGCATCACTGTGTCCTTGCATGTGACCCTATTTTTCAGGGGTCTGGTCCAGCTGTAGACCTTTCCCTCTGCCGGGAATGCTCTTTCCACCTGGCAGCACCTCCTCTTTGTCTCCCAGTCCTCTCAGGTGACATCAATCAGACTCTTATCCCGGGCTCTAGCTGCCAGCCATAAGGCTCAACTCCTTGAGGTGGGCCTGATGACTTTCATCTGTCATCCCAGTGGCACGTAGTACATGCAAATTTGGTATCTGCAACTGCTGAGAAAATAATTCGCTAATTGAAGTCAGTGTGCCACTTAATCTTGGGGAGAGCCCTGTGAGGTTAGGCGGGGTGAGAAGGATGGGGACAGACCTCAGGGTGCATGAGGCCTGCTTCCTCCACCCTCTGCCAGGCTCAGGATTGCTTGTTTTCTGGGTGCTACTCTTTGATTGGATCCCTCAGTTCCTCTGCGTCCATCTCCATCCCCACCCACATCCCTTACCACGTACATGTTTCCCACCTAGATGCTGGCTCGGTGGAGAGGTGCATCTGATTTGTGTCTCTTTCAGAACAGTGCAACCCTGAAACTCGTCCTACTGAGAAAAAAGTAAGGTCAGCTGTTACGGCAAAAACTATAAAGCCTGCGGAAAACAAAGGTGGGTTGCTTCAAAAAAACCACCTCGGAAGGGGTTTCAAACAGAAGCTGAAGGAGGAGACGTGGGTTGGCACAGGGAGTCAGGAACGAAGGCTTCATCTTAGCTCAGAGCACCAGGAGGGGGGGCACCTGTTGTGTATTTTAGAGCAGCCTGAGGGCATTGTTAAGGACAAGAAATAAGGGGGTGAGAGGCAGCTGGCTGTGGTGTGGGGGTGAGGGGTGGACCCTGATGGCAGGAAACCTTCTCCAGTCATAGCTTCAGGTCTCCCTCCCTGGGCCTGGATGGAGCGGTCCGTTCACCTGAGCTAGGCTCAGGTGGGAGGCTGCCTTTGACCTAGCTCACCTCCCTGCTGCTGGGGGCTCCTCATGGCTTATTGTGGGAGTGGGCTGTCAGCCCATCCATCTCTACAGACTTCAGTATCTCCTGGGTGTCAGGCACCATGCCAGCGTCCAAAGGCAGCCCCTCCTGGTGCCAGCAAAGAGGTATTGAACATTCACAGCATGGGATAGCCTATTTCTGCCCTTTGAGAAACTTCCTTGTTGGGTTTAGGCAGTGTCAGAAATTTTTGGCCATGCTGAAAGCACAAGGTATTCATGGTAGGAGGTTTTTACAGAGCACCTAGTTTTTTGGCCCCTGACAGGGCTGGAGCCATAGTGAGGAGAGCTGGGGGGATAAGAACTGGAAAGTCAGGCTCCTGGCCCAAAGACCACAGAGAAACAAGTAGAACAAGCATGTGAACACGCTAGGATGCATTTGTTAAACTCCCCAATTCTTAGCTTCACCCTCCTTCCCCAAAAAGAGGAATGTTGGTAAAGTCACAAATTCCAGAAAAGGTCTTTTTTTTTTTTTTTAAAGATTTTATTTATTTATTTGAGAGAGAGAATGAGATAGAGAGAGCATGAGAGGGGGAGGGTCAGAGGGAGAAGCAGACTCCCTGCCGAGCAGCGAGCCCGATGCGGGACTCGATCCAGGACTCCAGGATCATGACCTGAGCCGAAGGCAGTCGCTTAACCGACTGAGCCACCCAGGTGCCCCAGAAAAGGTCATTTTTGTTTTGTCAATACCTGCTTACCCCTGCTGCTGTCAGTCACTGGTGTGCACATTTATCTGTTGGAGTAGTTCGTCTGGCAGCTAGGTTTCTAGTCATAATTAGTTGTGTTCTGTATTCCTCAGATGATGATGAGGACTCTGTAGCTGACTTTCTCAATAGTGATGAGGAAGAGGACAGAGTTTCTTTGCAGAATTTAAAGAATTTAGGTAAGTGTGCTGTGCTTGCTTCTGTATCAACCACTGATACATTTAATCCAATGTACAGAATGTGATTTTTTTTTTAAGTTACTAAATACAGGTGACCTTTGAACTGCACAGGAGTACGGCTCCCTTCCGTCCACCCTGCAGTTGAAAATTTGTGTATAACTTCGGACTCCCCCAGAACTTAACTACTAATAGCCTACTGTCGACCGGAAACCTTACTGGTAACGTAGTCGATTAACACACAGTCTGTATGTTGCATGTATCATATGCTGTATTCTTACAATAAAGTAAATGAGAGAAAAGAAAACATCGAAAAAATCATGAGAAAATACGTTTACACCACTGTATTTATGGGGGAAAACTCCATGTATAAGCAGACCTGTGCAGTTCAAACCTGCGTTGTTCAAGGGTCCCTGTACTTGAGTGTGGCACGCAGAGCCCTTCAGCCACATGACCCTGTAAACACTCAGGGCTTCCACACTTCCCTGCCTTCTTACAACTCCCTAGGCCTGGAATCCTACTGGTTCTGTGAGTTGGCAAAATTCTCCTCCCTCAAGCTTGGTTCAGGTTACCACCCTTCCTCAGCTCAGTTTTTCTTGATCTTTTGTCTTTCTCAGAAGCAAGCACTTTTCACCTTCCCATGGCGCCTTGCAATATACCGCTCGTATTTTATGGTACCTTCTCTCCCCCACACCGGTCTGTAGGGCAGGGGCCTGCATTTACCCCACCTCCCCAGTGCTCTGTACGTGGTCTAGCCATTCAAGCAGACGGTAACCCCAGGAGTTGGGAGTTTTAGAGGGATGAGGATGTTCATAACGCCCGGTGTTTCTGTAGGCCCGCGTGGTCTGGCCTTGGGGCCATTCTGTGGCCCGAGTGATGAACGGGCCAGGGTAGTTCCTACACGTGGGAGGTTTCACTTCCGTCTCACCGTCAGGCCTACCCTGCTGCGCACCCAGTCCCACAGCAGGGAGGAGACCGAGGGCAGGTGTGAACGGTTTTGTAAACTAAGGCACCACGCAGATGTTGGCGTCTGTTCATTGCTACTGAGCCTGCAGTGAGGGTCATGTGCTGGTTTCTGCAGCGTTCAGAGTCTTTGGTGTAATTCTCCTCATCAGGGAGAACCTTTAGGCCTGTGAAGAATAACGTGCCAACAACTTCATGTTGTTTGTTGTATTTGTGCTGGTATTTTTCTTAACTTGAAATGGCGTAAATTTATAGAGATGCCAAGAACAAGAATGTGTGATGGCATTTAACTGGAAATCATATGCTGTGCTGACCTCCTCTTGTTTATGTGGAGCACTGGTTCCATTCTTGGGTTTAAAGGTGGAGGGGATGCGGCACCCTTGATCTGTACTACATTGGACGCATTTAGCTGTGTGCATCTCTTCCCACTTGAACTCACACTGGCTTTCTTGTTCATTTTTAAGGAGAATCTGCAGCATTAAGAAGCCTGCTGCTCAACCCTCACCTTCGACAGCTGATGGTCAGCCTCGATCAGGGCGACAACAAGGCGAAGCTCATGAGAGCCTGCATGCAAGAGCCCTTGTTTGTGGAGTTTGCGGACTGCTGTTTAAGGATTGTGGAGCCATCCCAGGATGAGGATTCCTAAGATGGATCATTGTGCTGCTCCCTGGAACGTGTGCGTGACTCTTAGAATGTGCCCACGCCTGCCAGGGAAGAGCTAGCGTGGGGCCCTCAGCAAGGATGCTGACTTCCAGGCTGGCTGGCGTAGGGTGGGCCCTACAAAGGCTTTATCTCCAGCACTGTAGGCGTGGGTTTCAGGCAAGAGGAGGATACTCGAGGTGACAAACCCTTTATGGAGGGAGAATTTGACGAATTTGACATTCCAATGGTGGTGTTTAAATGTTTTAATTTTGGTAGCGTTTAGACATCACACATGATTTGTCAAGTTTCATACCCATTTGAGTTAAAACTTGCTCACTGTTGCTAAATAAAATCAGGATATGGTGATTCTATGGTAAATGGCATTGTTCATCCTTAGTTCATAATTGCTTGAAATTACATTAAATAAATCAACACATTAAATAGGTTTTGTTCCTTTCAAAGGAACTAAATGCAGATATCCCAGTCGAAATTTGGGGGCTACTTTCAAGCTAACTCGGCCTGTTCTGTTTGCAGGGAATCGGGGGTGCCCCACTGTAGTGATGGACTACACAGCTGAGTCGGATCTCTGAAGGTAGTAAAATGGGGGAAATCCTTTGTGGCCCTGAGGTTTCTTAGCCCTGGTTTGCTAACCAACCCCTGACGTCTGTCAGGGCCTGAGATGTCCACAGAAGCCCCAGGCGAGTGCAGGGGCTGCAGCAGCCGTCGCTCGCTCACAGGAGCTTGGAGTCGTTGTGGGAGTAGTGCGGTGGTGTGTGGATTAAATGTCTTTGGCAAAGCAGCTGGCAGGAAAAGGCCTTGTAGACACAAAGGCACCAAGGGGTTGCCCAGCCAGGTGAAGCTAGAAGGTGAGAAGACCTCACCTGTGGCCCAGGCTGTCTCTCTCCAGCAGAATCTGATTAAAGCCAGTAACACTGTAGGGTAAGGGTTCAGGGCAGATGTCTGCGTATGGCAGGGGAGACTTTCTGCAGTGGAACTTGATCGAGCCCTGGGTTGGGGGGAGGGAAGAGAAAGAGACCGCTGAACCCCAGCTCCCGGGAGTGCCAGCCCTCCGGGTGCCACCCCCCCCCTTGCCGAGCCAATGCTAGAAATGCGGAGATGTGGACAAGCACTGGTAGGAGACCAACAGCAGGATTGGGTTCCTGCTCTTTGCTCATTCTAAACCAGTGGCAAATTAAAATACAACATTTCACATCCATTCGGTGTGATGGATGAGGGAGCTCTCCCCTAATAAGAGTATTACCTGCCACAGTCTTAAGACTGCTTAAAACTGGAAGAGAAAACAATCCCACTTTTGTTTATACTCTGGCTGGCCTGTGTGTTGTCATGGGAGATCTTCTCCAGGTTATGTCCTATCGTAATTCCTCTGGTATGAAAACTCACTGTTTTCTTTTGACTTGTGTCACTTAATCCTGGCTGGGACCCCATGTGGTAGGTTGAGCATTAGCCCACTATGTGTTGGCTGACTCTTTCCTCCGGAGGCCCGTAATATAAAACCAGAGCTGTTGAACCGCTGACTACCTGCTTGTCATTTGCGCAGCTGGAGCAGGGGATAAACCAAGTAATGTGAGGAAAATAGGATGCTAACTTCAGAATAAGCTGTCATCACAACCCAAATTTTAAAAAGTGGGACTAATTAAATGGAGGTTCAGAGGAGAAGCCAGAACACTCAGAGGCAGTTTTTAAAAAGTGAAAGGGCTCTGGAAAATTCCTACTTGTAATGATGGATACCACCCAAACCAGCCAGTTGGGAGGCTCAGGCTTCTGGCTTCCCGAGCAGGGTCAGGACGGCTCCTGTCCTAGTCTCAGTCCTGCTCCTGCCGTGGACTCATGGGCTTTGGCTCCTGCCTTCTACAAGGAGGTGTGAGGGACCCAGAGCCGTGCTTACCTGAGGCAGCGCTCGGATGGATGTGACACCAGCTTGTCCTTGGGCCGTCTGGACTGTGTAGCTACTGGGGCTCCCCGTGGGGAGCTGGAGGCAGGCCCAGACCACCAGCTTCCTCTGAAAGCCGCGGACACCCACAGCTGCGTTGGCCAGGACCAGTCCCAGGGGCCACAGGCGGATTACCGCCGCCAGGAGGCTGGTCTGTGTCTGTGGCAGCAGGAGGGAGCCCGTGGGAAGGGGAACTTGAGACAAGTGGTTTTCTTCCACACCGTCCAGTTCTTTCGAAGCAAGGAAGGCCATTCCAATCTAAAAAAAAGAGTACCACTTTATAACTTTTAATGTATTAGTTCTTAATGGAAACCAAAACTATTTTTAACAAGGTAGCTTAACAAGGTGACCTGAAGGACACTGGGCTGTTGAACAGCTGGATGCCTTCAACTAGATGGGCGCCATGTGGCCAAACTTCTTTATGCCCAGGGCACCTGTGCTTAGGCCTTACGTATGCTACTGTAAGAACAGCCTTGAGATCTCATTGATACACCATAAAATTCACTCCTTTAAAGTGTATAATTCCATGGTTTTTAGTATATGCCCAGAGGGGCTGATGCCGCCCTTTCTGTGTCCCAGGAACCCCACCCCAAGGCCGTCGGGTACCGGCCGGCCGCTGCCCATCCTGCCCGCGGGGTCAGATACTCACTCGCCACCTCCGCCACGCACGCCCGATGACCGTGGCAGCTGCATGCAGCCTCCGCACGTGTTTCCGAGCTAGCCAGGACCGGATGGCTGAGGGGTTTGCCCAGAAACAAGAAGTGAACTGTTCTTAGAACTATGGGTAGCCTGGCCCTGCAGCCACACCTGAGCTGCTGAAGAAGCTTGGAATCGGCGCCTCTTCAGGGATGGCTAGCCCACGCCGCCCCGGGAGGGAGGGAACGGAAGTGGGTACTGAAGTGAACTTGGCTCTGAAAGACGCCCCTCAGACCGTCAGCCTGGGACAGACGTCGTGTGGAAGGGCCGCAGGGAGCAGGCTGAAGTTGCCTACCGGCCTTACGAATTCATAAACTGGGACCCCACTGGGCACCCACGTGTTGGTAAAGGTGACACTACTGGATGGCAGACTGGCAATTTCCATTTCCTTCTGCAATTTCAGCATTTTCTGGTTCTTTTACATTCAGAACAGGGGCTATTCCATTCAATATTAATATGCTTGGATTCTAGAAAACTAAAAAGCTTAAAGACCGATCCAAATCCTGCTATCTCACCAATGCAGACAGTTCTTTAGTTTCCTTACTCTGTTTTTTTAGGCCCATACACACAGAAACACACCTGAGGAAGGTGGCATCACCCTTGACGTGCAGTTTGGCATCCTGGTTTGAACATCACATTGGAAGTAGTTTTCCATTAAATTTAAAATATTCTTCTAAAACACTTCCTAGCTGCATCATAAGGATGGTCCGTAATAGCCATGACTTTACCACTGCCAGCTATGTGGGTGGTTTCTAGTATTTTCAAAGTAAGACTGCAGGGAACATGGTTCCTATAGCTCTTCCTTTGATGATCAAATCTGGTCAGTTTTTACCTTCTCAAACTCATTACAAGCCCTGGACCCAACACATAACAATTTGGCATAGAGGCAAAGGAAGGTGCCATCAGCCACTCTCTAGGTCTGGGAAAGGGGCATTAAAGGCAGATTTTCAGCCTCTGCTGCCTCCAGAGCACCCTTATTTGTGGTGTCACCTGGTTTCCACTGAACTAGGGAGACACTGATGAGAATTCGAACCCCGGTGTACCATAGGGTTGTACCGTCGGTGTCTTGAGGCTGGGACACAGCCTTGGCATAGGGCGTCTCCAGGGAACCCGGACCACGCGGGGTCTGCACGTGGGCCGTGTGCCCCGAGCCCATGCACCTCGTACCTGCCTGGATGAGCACGGCTGCCCGCCTCCGCCTCCCCTGCTTGCGGTACCAGTGTCGCCTCCAGCTGCCCTGGATGCGGCGGGCACACTGCTCCAGCACCTGGGCACGTCCATGTTCCAGAAGCTCCAGCTGGGAGAAGGGGCATCCGCTGAGGGCCTCAGCCTCTCCTCCCCCTGCCCTGAAGTGGTCCCAGACCTGGTCCTGCTGAGGAGAGCACGTGGCTGGCTTCGGGGAACTCCCCGCCTCCTCACAAACCAGCTTACCGTGGAGTCCGTCATGAACACCTTGGTCCTGCCACAGTGAACTGGGGCTGCTGAGGCCTCAGCTGGGTCATCAGGTGCTGCGGCTGCCTGAGTCAGAGCTGGAAGAGTGTGGAGGATGTCCTGGAGGAGAGGTTGCAGTGTGGCCGCCTCGGTGCATGGAGACCATTCTGTGGGATGGGAAACGGACGTCCCATCAGCTCTTGGTCATCCACACGCTTCTGTGGACTGGAGAAACCGGTTCTGGTCTCCCCAGTACTCCACAGGCTTCTCTGCTGCTGTTCCTGCCTCTAACCACTTCCCCATCCTTTTTTGGGGGAGGCCAGAGGTGACCCCTCTAGTGTTCCTCAGGCCCTGGCTGTTCGGAGGAATACAGGAGTCCCCACTTGTGGCTGTGCCCTGGGCTGGCCTGCAGCCTCCATCCCCACCGGTCCCCTGGGCAAGCTGGCAAAGGGCGCTCGGTGCCTGCTCCCAACCTGGAAACCCAGGCTACTCAGCTGGCGTTTGTTCCAAGGCCCCAAACGTGCGGGGGACCAAGCAGGGCAGCTGGGCCGCTCCCTCTGCCCTGGACCCCTTAACTCCCTGCCACATATGAGAAAAGGGAGAACAATCCCCGTCCGACAGAGGCCCAGCAGGTGCCCCTGCCTGCCCTCCCGCAGTGTGCAGGGCTGGCTCCTGTAGAGGATTTACCTGAGGGCTCTGACCACCTTTTGCTGCTCAGCGCCTCTCTGGAGAAGAGGCTGCCAAAGAGGACGCCGCAGACGAGAAACCGCAAAATCGACCGGGGACGAAGGGGGCTTTGGGCACGAGACACAGAGCAGTAGAGCAGATCATGAAGAGGGGAAGAAAGAAGTGGGGGAAAAGAATGAAAGGCAAGTGACAAAACTGTGCCTGAGAGAGGTGGGAAAGCAGAAGTGTCCCAGGTGGGAGCCGTGGCTGCTGGGCTGGGGTCCAGCTGGGCAGGGGCCTCACACTCAGTCCTTGGCCCCTTCTTCCTCCACCTGTGCGGCGGGAGGGGGCTTACCCTACATGCTGACAACCCCAAACTGGGGCCACACGCCAGACCTTTCCCTTGATGTTAGAGCTTGCCAATGGGATGACTCCAGGGACCTGGAGCTCAGGTCAGCCCTGCGGGGCTCAGCACCTCCCCCCAAACCTCTCTTTCCCCACTGGCCGGGGGGCACAGTCTGACCAGTTTCTTCCCAACATAGCCCACTGTGCCCACATCTCTAGCTTGACTCTGGCCAACGTAATAGCCTCACTCCTATGGCCTCCAGAAAGCACAAGGCTGACGTCACTCCCTTCCTCCTCCGAGGTGCCTCCATCTGCCCAGAGAATAAAGCTCGGCTTCTGTGACATGGCCTATCACCCCAGTCTCACTTCCAACTGTTCTTTGCCCGTATGGGCAAGCAACACTGGCCTGGAGTTCCTCACACACAGGGTTGTCTCCTGCATGCAGCCCTCCGTTCAACTACCTGTTAGGTGGAATGCTCTTCACCTGGCCAATACCATCTGTCTTCAGACACCACTTCCTCCAGGAAGCTTTCCCTGATTCATATTCCGCAGCACTACCCACGGCACTCTGTTCCCACCTCTGCCTTTCCACTTTTCCCACTGTTTGTCGTCTTTTAGTCTGTTTTCCCGACTGAACCAAGAACCATGAGGGCAGGGCTGTGTTTTACTCTGCTCTGAATGCCCAGCCCCTAGCCCCAAGATGGCTCAGGATAGGCACTCAGTCCACTGTGGCTGAACATACGACCAGCAAATGGGCCCCACTCACCTGAGCGCCCTTCAGCAGGAAGTGGGCTGTGGGGGCCAGGGGATGTGCGAGCACGGAGCCTTCTCAGCAATTCATATCGTTCCACGAAGTTCCAGTGAGGGATCCTGGAAGCCAAGGGCGGCGGAAGAAATGAAGTGTCTTCATCTGTGAGCCTGGAATAGCTCTTGGGGCCAACGGGAGCTCCTCTATTTAATCTACTCAGCAGCTGCCTGACTGTGCCCACAATGAATGGATGAGGTGGTGGTTCTGAAGGGATGACTACGGTCACTCACAGAAGCCCGTGGAGACCATTTTAAACTGGGTCTGCTCTTCCTGCCGTCTTGGTCTACCCAAACAAAGCTGCTCGCTCTTCTTGTAGGGGATTTGCGACCTGCCTCCTTCCAAAGGGGCTTGCAGGCTTCTCCCCAGTTGGATGGCTCCTGCCGCGTACGTGGTCAGCCACATCTGTGCCTTCTGACCCCACAGCCTCCCTTGCTTCCTCCTGATTTCTCTGCTCCCCTTCACTGCAACACTTAAACAGCTGGTGACACCTTGTATCTATCTATTCCTCCTCCTCCTGAGTCTGGCTTCTGTCCCCGACACTGTTCCCGTGTGGCTCTTGCTGCAGCCATCAGCAGACACCACGCCACCAAATCCAGTGGCCAGTGCTCTGACTGGCTGACGGGAGGTGCCCGGCTGACCCCCGTGACCCCCGTGAGCCTGGCTTCCTCCTTCACCCACGACTCCTGCCAAGTTGCCGTTGTTGGTTTCTCGTCCCCTACCCTAAGTGTGAATGCTCCTCAGGGAACAGCTTCAGAGCGCTTCTCTCTCCCCACCGTGATTTCCTCCTTGCTCCTGATGTTACAACCCACTGAGGACAGATCCTCATGCGCCCTCCAGTTCCCAAAGCTCTGGGCCCCGAGCTTGTCTTACAGCCACTGCAAACCTGACGAGGTCACGTTCCTGACTCTCCTCCCATCCCACCTCCAGCCTGTGCCCTCCCCAGACATCCTATCTCAGGGAACTGTCCCCTGATGCATCCATTAGCCTCCAATGGAAGCCTGAAGTTTCCTGTGTGAGCTGGAAGCTGACTGCTCCCCTGCCCACACCCCATGGTCATCCAACCCCCAGTCCTGTTTCTATCGCAAGCCATACTCCAATTTCACCCATTTCGCTCCATTTTTCACGGCTGCCCCCCTCATCTGGGTCACCATCTTGCCTGTGTACCGGCAACAGCCTTCTCACACATCTCCCTTCTCTCCTGCCCCTACGTCCAGCCTCCACACAGCCACCACAGAACATGAATGGGAGCACCGCACTCTCTCCTCACAACGTCCAGTGGCTTCCAGGCCCTATGGACAACTTGCCAAGTCCTCGTGGGACCCATGCAGCCCCTCTCCCCCAGGTCTCTACGCTCCCATCACTTGGGCCTCTTAGTTCCTAAGCTGGGAGCTTTGTGCTTGCTGTTTCCTCCGTTCCCAGAGGCCTGAGCTGCTTAGAGGGCCCCTCCCTGACCAGCCCCAAGATCCTCTTCCCCCATTAGTCTCCCAGCAGTATTTTTTGTTTCCTTCCTACACTGATCAACTTTATACTTCTTGTACGTGTACCCATAGGAACGTATGCCCCAAGAGGCAGAGGCTCACCTTCCTTATTCACTGATACTAGAAACTGCTTGGTACAAAACAGTACACAGAAAGTGCATGGATAAACAAACGAGTGAAGCCTCTCGAGTTGCAGGTTGACCTCCGCAGACCTGCTTCTTTCTCTTCACCTCCACCTCCTACTCTGGGCTGGGCAGCTCTTGTCACGCCTGAGTCCCAAGCTCCACCCCAGCACCGGCCCTGCCCCGTGCAGTGCTCGGCCCACTCACCGAACAGGGAAGCCAGCAGCACTGATGTGGATGGTCTCCACGAGGCCACAGGCCTCCAGCTGACTCAGGACCTGCAAGGATGGGAGACAGGCTGGGCACCTGCGGCCAGAAATACCACTCCTGCCCTCTCTCTGAGGCTTTACTGTGGCCTTGGTCCGTATGAACCTGCAGGCTGTCTAGAGGCGTGGCTGATGGGGGTCTACTCCTTGGGACCTCAAGAAAATCTCCCTGCTAAAAAGGGTCCTGGTAGCCCCAGGTCCCCTTATCTGATGCCTGGCTTCTGATGCAGCTGAGGCAGGTGCTGGTCCTGCTTTTCTCTCGCTCCTCCAGGCAGTGCAGAGGTTCTGCCTCACCATGCAGCCCAACCCCATTTGTTTCCTATTTATTTTCTATTTTGTGGGCAACAGAGTAAATCATAGCTGAGAGGGAGGAGAGGTTATATTGTAAAGATTCTTCGGGACCTGAGTGGAGAGATCCTGGCCTTAAACCCCCAGGCCAGTTGACTGTGGGACACTCTCCAGCACTGTGCAGCACTCAGACCTCATCCCTATCTCAGAGCCCCGTACCCTGAACAAAGGGCAGCTGCTGGCCACCGACTGCTTTTGTGCGAATCAGAAAACACTCGACCTCCGGTCAGAAATGGCTGCAGTGTGCAGGACTGTAAGGCGACGCAGGCTTTCAGCGAATCACAAAAGCCACCCGTCCCTTGGGGCAGCTTCCATCTCATCAGGGCACGTGATGGGCGAACAGAGTGTCTGATGCAGTGCAGCCTTCCTGGCTAGCTCACTGTGCTATGCACAGACCACAAAACCGTATGTGACCGTGCTGCCAAAGCAGGGGACACAAGACGCCCTCGTGTGAGACTCAGCCCGAGAGACGCGCTCTGGGCACTCCATTTGGAGCCTAAGTTCTGCCTTTTGGCCCTTCAGGGCCTTGGCCAGATGGAGCTCCCCGCAAAGCAGCTCTGGCCCCGTGAATTACCTCCTCCTGGAGAAAGGTGTGCGCCTGGCCCTGGCTGTTGGGCTTGATGCAGCGAATGTAGTGGGGTGTAGTGCTATGCAGAACCTGCAGAAGCTGCTCCAGGGAGGCCTGCAGGGGGGGAGACTGCGGGGTCAGGCAGACTGGGGCTGCCTGCATGCATCAGCTGGGCCGTGGTTAGTGACTGCCTGAAACACCTGAGGCGGTCCTCACAGCCCTGAGGCGGGGATGCTCCTGGGCCCTGGGATGATTATGGGAGGTGCTCACTGAGTCCAAGCACCCTCCTGGCCTGACCTCCCACTGCTCCTCACCCCTGCCTCCTGGGGCCTTCCTGACCTGCAATCCTGCACCTGGTTGGTCTCTGCTGCCCTCCCCCCACCCTCACTGGTGCAATCTTTCTGGAAGAGCACAATCTCGGAAGCCAAAGCCATTCATTCAGGCAACAGCTGTTCTCATTAAGCCCATCCTGTGTGCCAGGGGAGCTGTGCTGGGGCAATGACAAGGTCAGTCTGCGGCTCAGAGCCCAGGGTCTGACAGGCTACATAGACATGGGGTGGGCCCCCTCAGTGGCGTGTCTGAGGCTAGGCAGGAAAGTGCCAACAAAATCTGGGCTCCACAAGGTGCTTCCTCTAGGAGGTGATCAGGCTGAGGTTTGAAGAAGGAGAAGGAATCAACTTAGGACAAAGGGTATAGAGGGTGGGAGTGTGGGGGGAGGGGCAGGGGCATCCCAGGAAGATGGAGCAGAATGTGCAAGGGCTCAGAGGTGGCAGAAAGCAAAAAGTGCTAGAGAAGGTGACAAATCTGCTAGCCAAGGACAGCTGAAGCAGGAAGCTGGAGAACTGGGAAGGGATGGGGGCACAGAGGTTCGCGTTAACTATTGCTCTTCCATGACCGCCCTATCGGCAGTGGGTGAGAGGCCCTCACTGTGCCACCCACAAGCCCCTAGGCTTCCAATCATGTCAATTATACGTCTCTTTGTCAGTTTCCTGTCTCGGTCTTCCCCATGAGACTACCAACTCCGCGTGGACTAGGACCACATCTACTTGACTTGTCAACACTCCCTGGCACACAGTACCAATCCTGGAAGGTGCTGGGTAAATATCTGAGATTGGTGAATGAACCAAGCACATCATATCAACACCCCCCCAACCCACCTTGAACTTGGACACCACAGTCAACACAGGGGCTCTGCTCTGGCCAGAGGGCTCCTCCTGGGCCTTCTCTTCAGGGTCAGCAGGAAACAGCACCTTGAGTAGGGGGTCCTGGGATTGCTGTAGGAGCCTGGTCAGCTCAGGTGGGACAGGGTCCTATTGGAAAAGGACAAGGGCAGCAGGTAAGGGCACGTGGAGTGCTACCCAGGGCTGTCTACAGGTGTGCCAGTCCTGCTCACCAGGGTCCCAGAAGATGGCTTCTATGGGAGCCCCACTGTGACAGGAGTCATTTCTGGGCAGCTCATGCCTGATTATCAGGGACCTCAGGCAGGCCCAAGAGGTGACTTTGGACTCTGGGAGGATGTACAGGAGAGGGAGAGCACATGACTGCAAACTTCCATGTATGTGCAGCAATGACTCAACCACCTCATTTCACACCGGGCCCCACAAGCCACGGCCCAGCCCTCACCTTGTTCTTCTCCACCAGACCTGCAGTGTGGTACTGCACAGGGCCCGCGTAATGTACCACAATGAAGCTGGGCTCCCGGCTGAGTTTGTTGTGGCCCAGGCAGGGGCTGCCCGCCAGCGCACTCTCGATGCGTGTCTGGAGCTGGGCTGCACTGCTTGGCCGATTAAGGCGGCACTCCTGCATGGGATGGGATGGGCAGTCAGCCAAACACGAGACGGGCTCACCACAACCCTCATGGTCCCCACGCCCTGTGGCCCCCCAACAGCAGAGTTGTCACACACTGGCTCTCAGAGGGAAGGAACGTAGGGATTAGCAAGCCCATTTGGCAGATGAGAAGACAGAGGCACAGGGTGGGTACAGTATAGTCTCCAAGGCCCCAAAAAGGCCCCAGAAAGGCCCAACTCTGGTGCTCAGCATACTAGCTGACCCCACCTCATTTATGAGGGAGCAGATGCTGATGGGGCTCCCCTCGAGGAGATCCAAGCAGGGCTGGTTGTCCTGGTAGTTGACAAATGACCACTCCAGACCCTCGACTGCATATTCCTCCTAGGGGACAAAGGTGGGGGTTGGGTGGCAGGAGAAGGCAACTGTGATCTGAGGCCCAGATGGCTCATCCACGGCTGGCCTCAATACCACAGCATATTCCATAATGACATCAAAGAAGGAACTAAAGGCTCCTGGTAAGATCCTGGAAGAAGCATTCCACCCCTCACCTGTTGAGCCCTTAGGTAGTGAGTCACAAAGTGCTGTTGCAGCTTCTCGTTGGCGTAGTTGATGCACAACTGTTCCAGGCTGTTGTTGGGAAAGGACTCAAATCCGTACACATCCAGCAGGCCTGAGAGGATGGGGAAGAGCCCATGGGGCCACTGCAGGGGCGGGGGGCAGTTGGGGGGACTACAGGAGCCCGGGGCGAAACCTCACGCTTGGCAGCCTAGAGATGAAGTTAAATGAGCATGACACCCGGCAGTGGGCACAGCATACACCCCGCCTTGGGGAGGGGCCCATCTCCACTTCATGGCCCCGCAGAATTCAGAGCAGGAAAGAAGGCCGAATGAGGTTTGAGGGGCGGCCTAGAGAACATTTTCTATGTCCAATCCAGTTTGGAGGGCCTCGATCTCACCAGCCCAGCTGGCATCTAGAATTCCACTGTCCCTTGAGCAAACTTCACATCTTTGAGCTTGACTTCCTCCCCTGACTATCCCACCCCAGTTCCAACCATGTTAGCGTGTCCCCCAAACCCCTCTAATCTAGCTATTTTGCCTCTCCCCCGACTGCTCTCCTGAGGCCGGACCTGGGTCTCAGGAGAGAGGAGGGGCCCTCACAGACAAGGCACCATCTGAGTCTGCCTAGAGAGCTACAGATGGGTCAGACATGGGCACCGAGGGCACAGAGCTGTCTTGCCCAGACGTTGGTGGATGAGGAGACGGGGGTGCAGAGAAGGGAAAAGAGAGAGCTGTGTGGAGTCGCACAGTGGACTCTACTGTTCTTTTTCTGAAGGAGTGCTCCCAGAAAGGTGAGCCCCTGCTACCTATGAAAGTGGTCCAGGAGTCAGGGTCTGCACAGATGCTGCTATTGATCACGGATACCAGCCAGTCAAACAGCCTGTTGGGGTGGGGGTGGAGGGAGAGAGGACTCTGGTGAGAGGTCAGGTGAGCCTGAGGGGTGGCAAGACTGCTCCTCTAGCCAGGGTGCCACACTCTGAAGGGCCTGTATCCCAAGCCTGACAGGCCAGAGGGTCAAACCCTCTCCTCCAGTTCTCTGGCCTATCTTGTCTTGCCCTACCACGAATGTAGTCTAGGGTCATGCCTGTTCCTAGGTACACATAAACCTGGCCTGTCCTGCCAGCACGCTGAACACAGGACAACGAGACCTTGGGGCTAGACAGGGAGTGGGTCTCCATGAGTCACTTGGCCAGACACCCAGCTGGTGTCTTGACTAGAAAGGAAGGGGCCGATGGGTAGGCCTGTGTGAGGCTTGCAAAGAACCAAGTTCATTAGACTCCCCTGCAAAACTAGACCTGTGGTGCCTAGAGCTCAAGATCCTGCCACATCCCCCCAACTCAATCCTGCACAAGTGGGCCCCGAGTCACCTGAGGTCAAGTGGCATCCTGCACTCTGGACCATCCCCCACCCCACCCCCAGAAGATGAGGCGGTCACGGTCCTGGGGACACGTTCAGCACGATGTACGGTACTATTAAGGAGTCTCTTTCTTACAGTTTTTCTTAAAGTGACTGCTCTGCAACTTATTGCAATCCAGTCACTGGTTTCTATTTTTGCCACAGGGGCTTCAAGTACCCGTCTGAGGTACTAAACACAAGTGACCTGGTGATACAGTGACCCGACATTTATCCTGTATGAAATGTTCTATTTCACACAGTCTCACTCTGTGGTCATCATATTTATCTTATCTGCTCATTTTGCAGTTACTTGACACAAAGGCTTTAGAAGACTTTGGCCTGAAATCAGCTTCGGCGCAGTGGGAACGAAGTCTCTTGCTGAACTGGGGTCAGTCTGAGCCCAGCTGCCTTGGGCCATCTTCATCTTAGTAGTGCATCTCAGGCTCTTAGACTCTTCAGGAAGTTCATGAAAGCAGAGGACCCTCTCTCCCCAGTGCCCAAGTTCCCATAAGCACGTGCATACGCACATGTATGTGTTCTGTCCCATAGCTGTGCAGGATTCCGGGCCCCTTGATACCTTTACTTGGTACCCTGAAGGTTCTGAGAACCCAGGGTGAGAAATCACCCATAACCACATGGCCAGAGTCCACGTGGAGATGCCCAAATAACCGACCAGGGAAAGGCCAGGACCCCCACCTTCACCACGCTCTGTGCTTGCACTTGCTGCACACTATGTCATGCGAGACTGTGGGCCACACTGCTGGCTCTACCGTCTATCAGTCTCCCCAGGTAACATGAAAACATGAAGTGCGAGGGCAAATGGAGACAGAGGAGCCGATTCACCCACAGGTCTAAACCTGGAACTGAGTGGGCCCCAGATCGCCTTGGCAGCCTGCTCTGCCAGTGAAGAGCCAGGCAGGCTTTCCTCACCCACTGCCAAGGGCAAGGCAGGCTCCTGTGCTTTAATAATGAGCTGAATCTAGCCCAGACTGTGGCAACTTCCCCACGCAGAGGACTCTGGAATTAAGGTCAAAGGCCTTGCTCAGGAAAAATCCAGGAGCTACTCCCTGCTGTCCCCGAGGGTCTGGGAAGCAGGGAGAAGAATGTGTCTGCTTTATCTGGAAGCCTCCACCGTGGCCCTGGGCCTACTGCCTGATGGTGTCTGGTCCAACTCCAGACAGGGGAGAACCTGGAAGGAGGGCAGGGCCCCGAGTGCTCACCGTGCGTAGACTAGTTTGGCCACACAGTCTCTGCGGATGTCGCACTCGGCTCGGGAACAGGGCTTCCGGAACACCTGCTGCCTGCCTGCCCTGATGGTTCTGATCCGCAGTGTCTCCAGCAGTGGGTCTTCTGGAAGCTGTAGCAGCGAGGCTGACGTCCTGATAGAGCCTGAGAAGGACAAATCCCCTCCATGCAGACGGCCCTCTTCACAAGACAATGTGATGTCATCACAGTGGAACCATGGTGCCCCACGTGGACGGAATAAACCCTGGTTCAGGTGCAGGAGGCTTGCCCGAGGCAGAGGCAGGACTTGAACTCAGGCCTTCTCTGTCCCAGTCCACACTACCCCACGTGGGACAGATCACGTCATAAACCCTCTGACTTTTTTCTCACCTGTAGAACAGGGCCGCTGCTGTCTGCCTCCCCAGAGATGGGGGTGGGCAGGAACATCATGGTTTCACCGAGGGCATCGCCTTCCACATTCCAACCTCCCCGCCCCCCCATCCCACCCTGGTTGGCCCTTTTGTAGACAGGGCGGGCCCTGCTCCCTGGTGGTGTGACCGAAGCCTGAGCCCCAGGCCCCCGCCCTGTCCTCACACTTGGCATCGCCCATCAGCTGGCAGGGCTGAGCTTCGTCCTCAGAGTCGGCAAAGCGGATGTTGCCGAGGTGCAGCAGTCCGGCCAGGACCTGAGTGGGCAAGGGGACATGGTGTGAGCTCTTTCTCCAGGGCTGGAGCCTCGCCCGGGAAGGGCCCGTCTCCTGCTCACAGAGTCCCGGTACCAGGATCATTAAGACAAGCTCCTAACTGATGCCCCCTGACTACGAGACCCTGCCAGGCACAATTCTGTTCGAGTTACATGCATCACCTTGTTTAATCTTTTCAACGATCGCTAAGGAATGTGCTGTGACGATGCCCATGACAGACAGGGGTGACAAAGGGAGAAGTTCAGTCGTAAGTCTACAGGGCACCTGGCTGGCTCAGTGGAGTGTGTGACTCTCAATCTCAGGGTTGTGAGTTCGAGTCGCACGCCGGGTGTAGAGATTACTTAAAATAAATAAATAAAATCTTCAAATCACAAGCCTGCAGGCCACAGACTTGGTAAAAGACAAAGGCAGGATGAGAACCCAGGCAGTCTGACTTGAGGTGCCTCCCAGGGCAGCCAGTGGGGCTCCCATGTCACCCGTCTGTCCCTGTGCCTTCCCTTCTCTAGAAGCAGACTATGAGACCACTCCTATTACCTGTGGGCCAGGCTCACTTCTGCGTGGCCAGTGGGGCTTTGGCCCTGGCTCCCTCTGGCCTTCTCTTAGCACTGGGGCTCTGACAGCTCAGCCTGGGGTAGAATCTGGGATTTTGGTCTCTGCACATTGGGCTCGATGTCCCAGGCCACACTGTACAGTGGATCCACATGGATGGGTCCCCATAGGCTACAGAGAAGAGACTCAAGTCCAGCAACTTGGAAACCCTCAGACCCTTATTGGGAGAGCAAGGCCTCTCCCACCATCCCCGTCTGGTCCCAGGCCGGAGGTCTCCACATGCTACCAGTGTTCAGGCCACACCTACCTTGGGAGAAGACTGCCATACCCAATGGGCAGAGGGTCATGATACCGCAAGGCCAGAACCCTGAGGTTGTCCACTTGCCCTGGGTTTGTCCCCATGTGCTGTCCCTCTGGCCAAGCTCTGGCCTGATGTGCCTATGCTGGCCATGATCCCCTCCCTGCCTGAGCAGCCCCCATCTAGAGGTAGAGGTCACTGTCCACTGCACTGCCACCTCCCTGCAGAGGCTTCCCTGTGGCTGCTGCCAGCCTATCCTGTATCCCCGCCCCCTGCTCTGGTGGGTGTGGGGGTGATGGGGAGGGCGGCAGTCAGCTCCGTCAGCAGACACAGAAGGGAGAAGGGAGGCCACTAGTGGGATGATGGGGGCCCAGCTCACCTGGGTCAGCACTCCATCTGAGAGGAGGGAAAAGTGGGAAATCGGAATTACTACGTCTGGTACAAACTGTCACTTAGTGATGTCCGACCCGGGGAGGTCACTTTACCTCTCTAGTTTTCTCAAGCATAAAAATGGGAAAAATCTCCACACACACAGGACTGTTGAAAAAACCAAGTGGACTAAGAAGTATGAATGTGATTTTAAAGTCTGAATATACTAGACGAACCTGTGATAGCATTACTTCTCTATTCTGTACTCTGATCACTGCAGTAATAACTGACCTGGGCCCCGCGCCCCCCCACCCCAGCCCACTGTTAGGTTTTACAGCACAGCACTGCACGCTCAATCACTGTCCTTTATGCCCTGTTCTCCCCGATGCCCTGTCCGGGCTCAGCGGCTCAGAGGGTAGGTGACTCCTTAGAGACTGCACAGTGGGGCTTAAAGTCCTAGATCTTCAGAGTTCAGAGTAGGGATGTATGAAAGGGGCTTCCCATCCATCACCTCTGCCAAACACAAGAGCTGTGCCTTTTCCTCTAACCTGAAAGATGTTGTTCTGAGTGGGGGTGTCGATACCCAAATGAAGCATGGCCTCTCTGGTCACCTCGAAACAATCCTCTGAAAAGGAATCCAAGTCACAGCCCAGGGTCAGGACCAGAGGTCAGCAGGGACATCGAGGGGTGAAGAAGGCAGGCCCTGCGCAGAGGGTGAATGGGTACTGACGGGCCAGCCCAGGGTGCTGGACAAGGCTCCCCCTACCTTCCAAGGTCCTGTCCGGGTTGGGCAGCCAAGAGAAGGCTGCTCCCTCAGGGAGGTGCCACTGAAGCCTCTCGTCCGTGCCGGCTCCTTTACAGATCTGTGGGAAGGGGTGGGCAGGTGGCCGAGGTGAGGGTGTGAGGAAGCCCAGGCCTGCATAAGCCTGGGGTTGCCATGAGAGGAGAAATGCTTTGATATCACAAGGTTGAGAGGTCCCTGCACAGAGCCCAGGGCAGGCCCAGAGGCAAAAGCCTTAGCAACAGTTCTGAATGTCTCTAACCTGATGCAAGAAAAGCCTGCTGAGGGGGCCTGTGGTCTGATGAGGAAAGCACAACTCCTGTCTGGGGAGCCCCAGGTCCCATCCGAGCAGGCAGACATACTATCCAGGCTCTGGGGGACCCCAAGTCTGATTTATAGGAGACACATCAGACACAGCTCTAGGGAAGCCCTCACTCTGTTGGAGACAGTGCCATTGTAAGAGTCCTTGGTCAGATGAGGGGGACCCAGTCCCAGTCCCAAGGACCTTTTGGTCTGATAGAGAAAGCAAATGCATCCCCATGTCAAAACCATCCTGGGAGGGCGCCTGGGTGGCTCAGTTGGTTGAGCGACTGCCTTCGGCTCAGGTCATGATCCTGGAGTCCCGGGATCGAGTCCCACATCGGGCTCCCTGCTCGGCAGGGAGTCTGCTTCTCCCTCTGACCCTCCTCCCTCTCATGCTCTCTCTGTCTCTCATTCTCTCTGTCTCAAATAAATAAATAAAATATTAAAAAAAAAAAAAAAAAACCCATCCTGGGAGCTAAGGTCCAGCATGAGGCAGAGGAGATGCACAAAATCTGCAGGAGTAAGTTGCCGCCTCACGGAAAGCGGTGGGCAGGGCAGGCCTGGAGCATGGGGGCGGGGCGGAGAGGAGGGTTTGGAGGCTCAGACCCATCTCCACCCTACATCTGGGCAGCTGTGGGCCCAGCTTGACACAAACCTGGTAGAAGATGTGGAAGTTCCTCTCACTGGATGCCTGACAGGCCACTCGAGTTTTCTCCAGGAGGTACGTCTGGACTGCAGCTCCGGTCATCTGCTGGGCCCTGGGCACAAGCAGGTAGCCATTTATTAAGGACTTACCATCTGCCAGAATGTAACCTAGCCACTCCCCCCAAAGCTCTTCCACTTAGTCAAAGTGGGTCTTGAGGACTAGGGACCACTCAGCAGGTCCTCAGGTGGTCTGGAACATTCCCCTGTGACCAGCTCAGGTGGACAGGGCCAAGCTCTCTATATACCATTTTGTCCCATCTCAAGGCAGGAACAGAAGCCCCAGCTTCAAGCTCAGGGGTGCAGTCCAGAGAGGTGGTAGTTTAACTAGAAGCCCCGAACCAGGGTAGAAGCCAGGAGGAACTCACAAGCCGTAACAAGCACACCGCCTCAGGGTCTCTAAGGCTGGAGTAGCTAGAATTCTAGATTCAAAGATCACCCCCAGGTTCATTTATTCCACAAACATTACATGCCAGGAGGAGCAGGGTTCTGCCCATAGGAGTAGCCCAGGCTGGAAACCGCCCCAGCCACATTCGGCCTCCACATCCCCATCCTCCCATCAGCGAGAGTGGCAGTGGCCATTACCTGTTCAGCTGGAGCTGGATGAACTTCCCAAAGCGACTGCTGTTGTTATTCCTCAGGGTGCACGCATTCCCTAGAGATCACACCGAGGTTTATAACACTCCCCCATGCTGACCAGGTCCTCGTGGGCCAAGGTGGGGGCACGTCTCGATCCTCAAGTCACCTAACAGCCCCTTCGTGGGTTTCCATGAAACAGGGGACAGGACTAGGGAATGGGCACTCGCACTTTAGCAAATGTTTCCGGAGAGTTAGAACTTCTTGGCAATGAATTGGAATAAGCAAGTGTAGGTGGTCAGGGACTGTCTTCTTTGAAGGGAAAGGACCAAAACCAACAAGCTGTCACTATTGAGTTAGACAACATCTAGGTACAACAGACCTATCTCCACCCCGCATCTGGGCAGCTGTGGGCCCAGCCGGACACATCTAGGCTCGAGTCCCAACATGGGACACTCACTGGTGAGCATTCTTAGACAAGTCCCTTTCTTCTCTGAACCCTCAGGAAACCATATGTAAGAACAGGATTTGAACTAGGTGAGCCATGAGGTCCTCTCCAGCACACTGTTACATCTGCCTAGGCCAGAGGATGGGGTGACTCTAATGGAAGGAGCCCAAGGGCACCTGGGAGGTTGAGGGTCCAAGGCAGTGAGGCTCTCATTCTCCAACTCCCAGAGACGGGCTCAAAGCACTATCCCTCTCCCTGGGTGGTGGCAAATCCCAGAGGAAACAGAACTGAGGTACTGTGCAGAGGACACCGAGCTCACCAAAAGCTTCCATGACAGGGTTGGAGTTCAAGATTCGCTGCTCAATCCTCTCTGCAATCCTGTGGCTCTCCCAGGATGTGGGTGAGGCGGCCACCACAGCATAGAACTTCATCAGGCAGCGGGACGTCCAAGTCTGCGGCAGAAACAGCCCTGTGGGAGCTGTGTTCACGTTCCCTCCCTCCATACCTCAGGATACGGGGCCCACCAGAGTCCTCTTCTCCACAGGCACATTGCTGACCGAATGGGGGAATGTTGAATTCAACTGTGTCCTTTACAGTGAAATGGGGGGTTGCTCCCTTCTGCTGCTCCTAGTTCCAGAGGACACCTTTAAGAAATGAAGGAAGGAGGGATAGAGAAGGGACAACCCACCTTGACCTGGGCAGGCTACTCAGTGTCTCTGAGGGCTCATAGCTAATACTGACTACTCTGTGGCAGGCGCTGAGCTAAAAAGGATGCTTTCTGTGCATCTTCTTACTAAACCTATTGATGCACGTGCCAGGACATACCTGTTTTTAAAATGAAACTGAGGCAAATAAAGATACTTAATTTTACTGAAGATCACACATATAGTAAATGACAGAGTTCTGATTTACACCCAGGCAATCTATTAGAAAATTCCCAACTTGTTTTTAATCAGCTGAAATGAGGCACATTTTCACTTCCAACTGTTTGTTGCTAGGACATGGAAATACAATAGATTTTTACTTATTTTGTTTTTTAAAGATTTATTTATTTATTTGACAGAGAGAGACATAGTAAGAGAGGGAACACAAGCAGGGGGAGTGGGAGAGGGAGAAGCAGGCTTCCTGTGGAGCAGGGAGCCCGATGTGGGACTCGATCCCAGGACCTGGGATCGTATGACCTGAGCTGTATGACCTGAGCTGAAGGTAGATGCTTAACGAATGAGTCACCTAGGCGCCCCAGATTTTTATTTATTTACTTTGTAACCTGTTACTTTGCTCAACTCTCTACACACCTCACTACAACTTCTTTGTTGTAGTAAATTTCTGTAAATTCTTTTAGGTCTTTCTATGAGGTGGGAGTTGTTCCCTTCTATTTTCTGAAAGACTGTGTAGAACTGGTTAACATTACCTCCTTAAATACTTGATAGAATTCACAAGTAAAGCCATCTGGGCCTGGAGCTGTCTTTGTGGCCAGGTTTATTACTATGACTTCGGCATCTTTCATTGATAAATTTGATATATTTCTTGTGTGAGCTCCAGCAGTTTGGGTCTTCCAAAAGATTTCTCCATTTCATCTAAATTGTAGAATTTATTGGAATAAAGTTGTTCATAATAATCTCTTACCAATCTGTAGGATCTATAGTGATATCTATTCTTTAATTCTGATACTGGTAACTTGTGAATTTTTCTCTCTTTTTAAAGTTTGACTAGAATGTTATCAATTTTATTAATCTTTTAAAAGATACGGCCTTCCGGGGCGCCTGGGTGGCTCAGTTGTTAAGCGTCTGCCTTCGGCTCAGGTCATGATCCCAGGGTCCTGGGATCGAGTCCCACATCGGGCTCCCTCCTCGGCGGGAAGCCTGCTCTCCCTCTCCCACTCCCGCTGCTTGTGTTCCTGCTCTCGCTATCTCTGTCTCTGTCAAATACATAAATAAATAAATCTTAAAAAAAAAAAAAAAAGATATGGCCTTTGACTTCATTTATTTTGTTATTTTTGTTTCCTATTTTATTGATTTTTCACTTTATTTCCTTCTTTTTATTATTATTTAATTTAAACTCTAGTTAGGTGACAGTTCAATATTGATTTCAGGGGTAGAATTCAGTAGTTCATCATTTACATACAACATCCAGGGCTCATCGTAACAAGTGCCCTCTTTAAGCCCCACCCACACACCTCCCTCCATCAACCCTCAATTTGTTCTCTACCTTCAAGAGTCTCTTATGGTTTGTTTCTCTTTTCTTCCCCCCTCCCATATGTTGTTTCTTAAATTCCATATATGAGTGAAATCACATGGTATTTGTCTTGCTCTGACTGACTCATTTTGCTTAGCATAATACACTCCAGCTCCATCCATGTCATTGCAAATGGTAAGATTTCATTCTTTTTGATAGCTGAATTTTCCATCTTTTTTTTTAATTTAAATTTTAGGTAGTTAACATACAGTGCAATATTGGTTTCTTTTATTTCCTTCTTCCTTATTTTGGGTTTATTCTTTTTTCTCCTAGCTGCTTAAGGTGGAAGTTCAGATCACTAATTTGAGTTCTTTATTCTTTTCTAATTAAGCATTTAATGCTACAAATTTCCCTCTAAGCACTGTTATTTTTTTAAAGATTTTACTTTATTTATTTTTAAAGATTTTTATTTACTTATTTGAGAGAGAGAGAGAGAGCATGAGAGGGGAGAGGGTCAGAGGGAGAAGCAGACTCCCCACTGAGCAGGGAGCCCGATGTGGGACTCGATCCCAGGACTCCGGGATCATGACCTGAGCCGAAGGCAGTCGCTTAACCAACTGAGCCACCCAGACGCACAGCACTGCTATTTTTTTAAAGCAGATTTTGATATGTCCTGTTTTCCTTTTCATTCAGTTCACAGTATTTTTCTAATATTCTTTGTGGTTTTATCTTTGCCCATAAGATATTTAGAAGGGTGTTAATTTCCAAATGCTTTGGGTATTTTCCAAGTATCTTTGTTACTTATTTTTAGTTCAATTCTACTCAGGACAGAGAACACAGTTTGCATGATTTTAATCTTTTCAAATTGAGATTTGTTTTAATGGCTCAGAATGTGGTCTGTTGGTGAGTGTATCATGTGTACTTGAAAAGAATGTTCAGGGGTGCCTGGGTGGCTCAGTCATTAAGTGTCTGCCTTCAGCTCAGGTCATGATCCCGGAGTCCTGGGATCAAGCCCTGCATCGGGCTCCCTGCTTGGCGGGAAGCCTGCTTCTCCCTCTCCCACTCCCCCTGCTTGTGTTCCCTCTCTTGCTGTGTCTCTCTCTCTCTCAAAAAAATAGAATCTTAAAAAAAAAAAAAAAGCTCAAATCTCTAACTATAATTTTGATTTTATCAAATTCTTTCAACTCTATCCACTTTTGCTTCATGTATTTTGAAACTGTACACATTTAGTATTATCTTCTCTTTTTTATATTTTAATTTTTTTAGGAATCTCTACATCCAATGTGGGGCTTGACCTCAACCCCAAGATCAACAGTCACATGTTCTTTCTAACTGAGCCAGGCAGCTGCCCCTAAAATGTTCTTTGTTCTGTATAACTGCTTCAGCTTTCCTTTGATTAATGTTGGAATGATGTATCTTTTTCTGTTTTTTTTTACCACGAACCTACCTGTATAATTATAGTGGGTTTTTTGAAGACCTATAACTTGAGTCTTGCCTTAAAAAAAAAAAATAGAAATCCAATCTGATGTTGTCTTTTAATTGGAGTGTTTAGTCTATATTCATTTAATGTAATAATCACTATGGCTGGGTTGAAATCTACCATCTTATTATTTCTTTGTGATTTGTTTCACATGATCTTTGTTACTTTTTTCTTCTTTTATGGTTGAATTTAGTACTTTTATGATTCCATTGTATCTCCACAGTAAATTGTTACTATCTTTGCCTTAGAGTGAATTATTTTTGAGGTTTTTGTTTTGTTTTGTTTTGTTTTGTTTTTTTAAGATAGGGGGAGAGAGTTGGGGGGGAGGTGCAGAGAGAATCTTAAGCAGGCTCCATGCGCAGTATGGAGTCTGACATGGGGCTCAATCTCACAACCTTGAGATCATGACCTGAGCCAAAAACCAAGAGTCAGTTGCCTAACCAGCTGAGCCACCCAGGACCCCCTAGAGAGAATTATCTTGTAGAGATAAAAAATAAGATATCACATCCCCAATGTTCTTTACTCCTTTGTATCAATCCAAATATTCACCTGCTTTCATAGTCCTTTGGCCTAAAGAACTTCCTTTAATGTTTCTTGTATACAGGTCTGCTGGCAATGAATTCCTTTAACTTTTGTTTGAAAGTCTTATTTCACTTCCATGGTTAAAAAAATTTTTAGGGGTGGGGCGCCTGGGTGGCTCAGTTGGTTAAACGACTGCCTTTGGCTCAGGTCATGATCCTGGAGTCCTGGGATC